GTGAGTTTAGTCGTGTGAGTCCAGTCTTCGATCCAGTCTTCGATCCTCCCGAGAATTAACTACCAGAAAGGAGCACGGGCTCATTTCCCGAACAGTGGGCCCGGGGGAGTGAAGATTCTCGTCCTCCCCCCGCCCTTAACCCCCGTCGTCCACTCTTACTCCAAATGGCTAACGATCTCGAGCTTATAACATTAGCTTGCCCTAATAGGACGCCTGTACTGCAGGCTGGAGAGAAATCAGCCGTTAATTAGCTATTCCGATTACCTTTTTAGGAAAAGATCTTCTTGTTAAACCAGTCACGACCCAAGGACAGAACTCGATAGATGTTTACCTTCCAGGAAAAGGAGAGGTAGCTTATCTTACATCATAACTTTGTTTGTCGAACGTTCCTTCATAAAAGACTTATCTTAATCAGCGTAACTGTGTTTTTTACTCTAAACAGTACTGGTACGACTTGCATGATTTCAAGATTTACCGAGGGGAGAGTACGATCTACGTGTCTACACCACTCGAGAAGGTAAATTCATCAATTTAATTCGTACCACATGGATGACAAATCTCAAGTGGCTTTCATTTCCTTCCTTTCTTTGAATCAATATTTTAGAGGATTTAGATCAAATCTCTCACCTTTTGGAAGAACTGGGCAAAGTAAGTTTTCCCCTCTGTCTGTGACTAATTTTGTAGTGTTAAATTTTTATTGTAGATCCCAGTGTTCCAGCGTGGAGGAAGCATCATCGCGACCAAGCAACGAATTCGCCGATGTAGTGCACTCATGCACAAGGATCCATATACGTTAACCATGGCCTTAAATCCCAGTGTAAGTTTAGGCATATGACTACACAATATTGAACTGAAAACTGAACGAGAGAACCTACGAACATACGTGCGTACGTATAGACGGGCGGACGGATGGATGGATTAACCCCTTTCAACTGTATATGCGTGTTTGTTGCCAGTTTTACTTGGCTGTCATAAGGGAATTTAGAAAGTCGCAACTGCGACGGAAACGAGAATGTAGCGAAACTAAAGATCTAATTAGAAAAACAATAGCGGAACAGGTGTGTTTTAAAAGTTTGTACACTTGCTAGCCGTTCCATACAGAACTAAAACGTGAAATCGCCAAATTTTACGTTCTCTTAGCGTGGAAACCTCGACAGCAATTCAGTTACGTTTTAAATGTTTTGAACTCAACGCTGCATTCACTTGTTATGCCGAAGTAACAATGTCGAACCGTCAGAAACGTGGAACACATCAAGCTTTAGGCGAAAATCTTAGAAGGAAATTTATTACGTTATTTCGTTAACTTTTTACCACACGACCCGTAGTTGCATTTCAAACTCCCTATTATTACATCTGGTTTCTTATAAATGTCGGCCCTATCGATGTTTAAACAGTTTACGGGCAATACTCTCCTCGAAAAGTCCGGATTTTAGCCTTGTCTGGGTTATTATGTTCTAAGCTGAGATTCGTCAGTGTCGGAGTGTCTGGCATCACTTTGAAATATTGACAGAAACCAACAAATGCGTGGGGCTAACGTGCGATAGGTAAGCATTCCATTAAGGGGTAGGGGGAGGGGGAGGGTTAGTATTGAATACTACTATTCGCACTATACTCAGATGGAGGGATAAGTTCCGGTAACTACACGTCATACCCAATGCTGGGTCGTACCGTGCATCCTGAAACTAAAGAATCCTATTCAATACTTGCGCTTACTTTCTTTCTGCGCAGGCTGAAGCAGAGGGAGATCTTTACGTGGACGATGGACACACCTTTGACTACAAGAATGGCGCCTACATTTACATGAAGTTTTCATTCCGTGGCGGACGAATGGTGGCGAAGTAAGATCACTTTTCTTGTCTATTTCTCGACAAGTCATTACAATTCGATTCGGGAACAAAGAACGTATGGGCACCTCGCACATGTGTCCCTTGCTAAAATGTGTTATATCTTGTATTGATATTTTCTGGTAATTTTGAAGCAAGGATCTTTTCCGCCCCGTAGGAATGCATCCAAACCCATTCCTCTTCAGCCTCAGACTGAAGAATCAGGGATTTTATCGTCAATGTGGAACTTCCTGTTAGTAGATTTGTTCTTGTTGTTTCTTTTCGAGTATATTTTACATCTTGATGGCGGTTTCTGATGTATATTCATCACAAAGTTAAACGTCTATCTAAATATTCTAGAACTGGGCGAGATTCGATTAAAGCCTCCAGCTTGCTTTACAAGTGTGAGATGCCGCTGTCTTTCTTCCACAATTGACTCAGGAATACTCGGATTAAAAATTCGACTGTTCCCTTCAGATTTTGATCTTTTATTTTCATCTTTATTATTATTACTATTATTATTATAATTATGATCATGATAACTATTATTATTTTCTGATTTTGGCTGAGAACATCATCTTTCACTTTCATTAATAGGCTGTAGTTAAATTTACTATCTTCATTTTCATCACAAGGCATTCTTTGAATCATTGTCAAAAAGCATACCGCTAACATTGGTATGGCCAAGGTACAAGACGATTACCGAGGCTCCGTTGTAGAAAATCCTAAATTCTTACCCCATGGTAATTTGGCACGACTGCAATAGGAGTCATTTTTCCCTTTCATTGCCATGCTGAAGATCGGCGTTCTGTTGGATTTCTGTTTCTCTGACAAACGTCATTGTTTACTTTTATCTTGAGGTTAAAAGCGAGTTTAACATCTTTATTTACAATCATTCCAAAAGGGAACACATCGTCATAAATCCAAAGTGTAACCATGCAGCATCTACTTTCTCCTTACAGTTATGCTCCTGAATCATTCCTTAAGATCACGAGAATAAACGGAATGATCGCCAACCCAAGAAGCATTGATTGTTAAACGAATTCTCCTTGTCAGTACTAAAAGAAATTTGTAGAGAAGAGTATGGAGAATGTACATGGATAATGATGTTAGGGTTTAAAATTCATAGCAGTAAGTGGGAGGGTTGTCATTTAAACCAGTTAGAGTTCCCTGTAGCTCGGTGGTAGAGCTTCCGCAGTGCAAATCGAGAGTTGCTAAGTTCCACTCTTGTATTTTTTCTCTTTTTTTTGCAGGCGGGAGACGCCGAACACTCAGTACACTACCGCTGCTTGGATAGAACGCATTGTCATTCTTGGAATAAGTAACGCTCCTAAAGGAATCTTCCTTACTTCTGATGGTAGGTGGCTGGATCAACTTTTCAGGCAGTACTGTATACAGTGGCTGTTGTTCAGCACCACTCTCCATCGCCTCCTCGATGTTCCTTGGTTTTTTTTCTCTTCTGCAGGAATTCAGTGACTTAACACTCCAATCAAATAATTTTCCAGTGGTTTATTTGTGTCTTTTTTTTTTCTTTTCTGTTTGTTTTGTGCATGTGTGTATCTCAAATGTAGCCTCAAACACCATGCTTGTCTCGGCACTCTTCCTTGTGGGGGAGCTGTAATCGAGGAGCAAAACAGCTCCATTAACGTCCTTTTCACGGCGGAAAGTCATCTCCAAGGAAAGGAAACCACTTGATTATGTGTACAATATTATCATTAAGCTGTGATGTGTTGAATTTTTTTTTCTGTCATTTTTTCTGAAGGTGGAGAGACTAGACACCTCCAGTTCACACATGATCCCTCGACTCACACGATGACGATCAAGAAGCCTGGGGTTAATATAGCTAAAGAGTGGACAATAACTATGCACGCTTAAATTAGATTTTCAGTAAATTATCAACTTTTTTTACACTTTTTGGGGAAATTGTTTTCACAATGGTGAACAAGACGAATTCCTCTCGTCTTTAATTAGGCACGGCGACACTGCCACTGGGAGAGAGAACTTTTGTAACAACTTACTGTAAGGAAGGAATTAAAGTGATTTGTACAAACAAAGTATTGGTGTGTATGTGACAATTTCTACGCACAATCTCGTCAAAGCACACGCTCCCCGTGTGTGTGGTTAATATTTGCAGGCTCAGCATGTTCCAGGCTTTTGGAAGACAACTCATTTATGTACCCACCCCGAGTCTCAAACTGAAAAAAAAGAATATATGCAGAACCAGAAACAAATAGATCTCGTGCAGTCATTCCTATCTTTACTGATCATTTGCCTCATTACCCACCATTCGTTACTGTTTCCTGTCATAGAACTTCATTCCCCATTATTCGCCTCAAATAACCAGCAATACCCATCGTTCGACACCATTCACCGTCATTAGGCACCACTCCTCGTCATTGGACATCATCTGCCTCCATGAGACACGTACCGTCATTAAACATCATTTACATTCATTGGGCGTCATTAACCGTCACAAGACATCACTGATGATTCCTCGCCATTAGTCACCAATCGCCATCTGCAAGCGTCATACCCTGTCACTAAACATAATTCCCCGACAGTAATCATCGTTGGCCTTATCACTAGGCATCATTTCCGTCATTGAGCATCATACGCTGTCATTTGGCACCATTTGTCACCATAATTGAGGATAGATGAAGGTTAATGATAACGAATTATGTCTTGTGGCGGGGGAAAGGATTTCTAATGATGGTGAATGGTTTTGAATGGTAAAAAAATGATGGGAAATGGTGGGGTAATTGATCCGTAAATACGTCTAAGAGGGTTTGGCACCACAGGTTCGGGTACTACTGGTTTTGAAGATTCACCAGGAAAATAAAGTCCTCGGGGTCTACGAATTTTTTGAACTAGTTTATTCAGCAAGTTTTCTCTTGCACACGCGCTAGCTAGTCAACTGAAAGCAAAAAATACACGTGAGGATCGCCTGTATCGGACATAACAAAAACAGAAGCGACAAAAAAGCTTTCTAGAATACGTACAATGTTGATATACTTACAATTCTATAAGGCGTTATCCCTCTTAAGACGCAATATTTTCCAGTCCTCGCACAAAGGCAGAAAACACACTTTCGAATAAAGCACAGTCCTTTCACCTGATCTTGGATTCCCTACTGCCGCTTTCTTAATCTAACTCACGTGTATGAACTAATCTTAAGAGCCCGTGATATCTCAGGTAAACAAAAAAAAATGCTTTATCTTAAATAAACAAAAAATGCTTGATTAAAAAAACATCTGTCGGCGAAGTGCAAAACAAGGAGGCTCACTGTATGAGTATTCACGAGTTGAAGGGTTCTGTTCTTCGAATTCCAACGTTTTTGCATTTTTGTATTCGTCTATATTTAGTTAGCTTTTTTCTAGTGAGCAGTCTATGACTATAAAGTAAGACCTTTTTTCATCAATTTCAGTAAGAATTTCGGTCGAGTCGGTTGTTTGTCACACAACGAAACGAGAGGAGCAAAATGAAATTAGTAATTATGAATTAGAAAATTCTGGTCATGCACGCCCTTCGTCAGAGCAATTGACGAAGGGCTAACGCTCGAAACGTCAGCTTTTAAATGAAGGCGGTAAACTAGAGCAACCTACGTTTAACCCGGTGGGATGGCGGGATGGAACGAAAAATGGCGGCGGGATGCGGGATTGGAAGAGTCTATCTTGGACCCTCTAAGGAGTCTCACGGTGATTTCTTGCAGGTTACCTTAGAATGAGCCTGCGTAGCAGTTCTCAGCGGGTCGGACGTAAGGTGATCGTCATGTGACTTTTCCATGACTTGCACTCAGATACTACTTTACGTCAAACGAATGGTGTGTTTTGCTGTAGGCATGGCGAAAAGTTCCATTGCGTCGCTTTTGCTAGTTTTTCTACCGATTTGTTATGGACAAACGGACCCTCAACCGCAACAGATTCACTTGTCAAGTACAGGTAAGGGAAGAAATGATCGGAAAGAACTAAATGAAGGTAACTGAGAGATGAAAAATTCGCTCATGTACGCATCCGGACATGCATGATTTGGTAAACAGATTGTGAAGGAAATTCAAAGCGACCGGTCTATCGATGATCGACGAAAGCATAAGCTGATATAAGCAAGAATTTGATATTGAAAAGTTGCTTTTACTGTTCGGAGATATGAGCGGACAATTCTGTGAGAAATCAACTTTGTTTTCACAGTTGGCACTCTCTTACATAATACGTACATTTTTGAAATGCAGTTATAGAATGTAAAATGTGAAAGAAGGGTTATGTTGAGGATTTTTGGAAAGTTCTTACATACTTAGGCATTTTTTTTACCGGTATGGAGACTCTATTGACGGTTACGTAGCCTAAATCGACTCTTGAAACAACGAAAAGAAAAAAAAAAGCAGATTGAAGTGGTGTTGTCAACATGCAGATACAAATAAATTCAGGAAGTTTGGTTTACATACGTTCATAACTGTTCATCCGAAACATTATTCTTTCTGGATTCTGTAGTTAGGTTTATCGATTCAACCACAAAAGGATCTAAAGAAATTCGTTGTAGCATGTACGAACAATCATAATTTTGGTGTTAACGCCTTGGTCATCAAGATGTTCATCCAAATCTACTGGAGCTATTTGCCAGCGTTTACTCTCAGTAGATTTAAATTTTTGAGGAAAAATACAGAGCGAAAGGGGAAGATACGTGAAACTATATTTTAAAACGGAAACATACTCAAGTAAAACTTAGAAACGAGCTAACGTCATTATTTATTTATGGTTCCAATAAAAACAATTATCCAGTTATAGCAGGCTCTGTTGTTAGTGAAAACCAGCCCTCAGAGGTTGGAGGGTGAAAGTGAAAAAAATGACAATTTTCTACAGAACCTGCCAGGGGTGGCTTCTCTTCAGTATCACATTCCTACATCTTGATTCTAAATAAGGCAAGAGGAGGTACATGTACTTGTAAGAACTTTTAGCAAGGGTGTACTGGTGGGTTTCCTAAATCTTGGCTCTGTTTCAGAGCTAACTGTTTCACTGTCCTCAGATCTGGCTCTGAAAGTTTTATGTGTTTATAAGTACACAAAAGTTGCAGTGGCAATGTAGCATTGGTGAGCATTTAAGATCACTATTGTGATATACCTTATTACAAGATTCAAATAAACTTTTGGGTCTATGTAAATGTAAACATTAGTGGTGTTAGCATAAATTAAGCTTAATTTAACTGTAAATATACGAAAATCATACATGTTGAGGGTTGAAGAAACAAATATAGAAGCAATCCTTGTAGTTACTGGTAGCTACTGAACTAGTAGTTGAAATAAGGCCTGAAGAAAAAATCAGGCCCATATGGGATTTGAACCCATGACCTCTGTGTTACTGGTGTAGCGCACTACCAACTGAGCTTACAAGCCAAGTGGGAGCTGGTCATTATGTTGGTTTCAGATAAACCCTCCAAGTGGTTAATTCATTACTGTAATTAAATGAAAATCATATAGGAAGACTGCAGTCCATGTGGGCCTGAATTTTTTTTAGGTCTTATTTTCACTACTAGTTTAGCAGTATTCATAACTGTGAGGATTGCTTCTATATTTGTTTCTTCAACTGCAGAGGTCATGGGTTCAAATTCTGTAGGGACCTGAATTTTTCCAGGTCTCATTTTCGCTTCTAGTTCAGTAGTATTCATAACTGTGAGGATCGCTTGTATATTCATTCACAATAATATTGATACATTGTGTCACTCTTTCAAGGAGACCCAACGGAAATGATGGTCACATGGGTGACTTTAGCACAAACAGAATACAGTGTTGTGCAATACAACAAAGCCGGTTTACCCCTAACGCTTCAGACCTCAGGTACCGTAACCAAATTCACTGATGGAGGATCAGCACACAGAGTGCTGTGGATGCACAGAGTGAAACTAACAGGATTGATGCCTGATCAAGTATATGGTATGTACAGTTTATTGCTAGAGAATATTTGGTTTTATTGGCTGAAGTAGATCAACCAGCTGATTATCAATAATACAGTAAATGGTGTGAACCAGGGTTTGCAACAGTTGTGATTGAGGTTTTGCTAACTATAATGGAAGTCATCAGTCAAATAAAATGATGAGTTGTGATCAGTCCTGTGTTATAGGTAGGGATAAAAAGAGAGTCCCCCACATATTTCTTGGACATCAAAAAGTAAAAATAATGTATCATGAAAAATCAGATAAACAACTTTAAGGTTCATGTATCGTGAAAAAAAAAAAATTCACAATTCACGAGGTCTAAATTTTGTATTTTCACTGGTCATAAAAATGAAAAACACTTAATCCTACATCATGCAATAAACCCTTTTTCAGCCTCTTACACAGGGCTCCAAGTTTTCTTTTTCAAAAAGTTGTCTTTGGTGACCTTCAGTTGTAAAGTATTCGCTATAAAAGAAATTTGGTCTCAAAGAAAGAATATATGTTATATCAAGAGAAGGACATTTCATGTTGGTTCACCAGAGTTTATATGTTTGATAAGTCAACCAAACATTTATGGATTTTTTTAAGGTTTTTTTAAATATGTTGGCCACTTTCACCGAGATTTTAGTCACCAAATATTTATTAATTTGCTATGGTGACCAAAGTGATTGCAACTTGGAGCGCTGTTATACATCTGGTGCATTAGAAACAAAAAACAACAACAACAACAACAACATAAAAGTCCTGATTGTTATATCTTTAATCCAGAATACCACTGTGGAGGAATGGAAGGCTGGAGTGCTCTCTATGAGTTTAAAGCTCTTCAATCTGGTGTAGACTGGAGTCCTAGAATGGCAGTGTTTGGAGATATGGGCAGTGTTAATGCTAAATCAATCAGCTTTCTGCAAGAAGAAACTCAACAAGGACTCTATGATGCCTTCCTTCATGTTGGTATGTACATTGTATGTTTGTGCTCAAGATTTCATAGCTTAAACATTGTGGCTGGTGACAAAATTTGTCTTTGTCAGCTTGGCTAGACAATATACTGTAAATACACTATGTGGTAGATAAAGATCTTTGATTGAAAATATTATGCAATCTACCAGAACCTGCAGAGAGGTTTCATTATTTATTTGATGTATTTTTAAGAGAACAAAATATCATCAGGTAATTTTTGACTGAGTTTCTTTCTTCTTTTCATTTTCCTTTTTTAGGTGATTTTGCATATAACATGGACACTGTAAGACACTTTTTTGTTTTATGTTTAATATTATACTGTTGCTGGCCTTTTTTTTTAGTTTTTGGGGAGTGATTCCTTCTAATGTTCATGTACTTTTCAACAGCTAATCCTTTCCCAAGAAAAAGTGTCAACTATTTTGATCCCTAGTCACCGTTCATGGCAACAAAAAAGATATTTCAATATCAAACAATTTTGAGTTCATCACCTATGAATTACACAATTCATTTCCCTTTACAACAAGAGCATACAAGTAACTGCAGATGAAAATCCACATGTTGATCACCTCTTCCATGGCTGGCAAATTTTGTGGGCAGTGAGGGCTTTGCAATAACTCATTGCTGTTGATTACCAAACACCAAACATGTTGATCACCAACAGCTGCTGATCACCTCTTTCTTAGCTGGAAAATTTCATATGTAGCATTAGAGGGCTTTGCAACAACTTGCTCACGATTCTTATGTCAATTCCTTTTTTTATTCATTTTAAAAACAGGACAATGCTTTAGTTGGAGATGACTTTATGAATCAAATTCAGTCAATTGCTGCCTATGTACCATACATGACATGTCCTGGAAATCATGAATCTGCTTAGTAAGTTGACCTTGAAATATTTAAATTGTTCCATTATTTCTTTTATATTGACTTGCATTTGATATTAATGCATATCTGTGTTCTTTACAGCAACTTTTCCAACTACAAAAACAGGTTTTCAATGCCAGGAAATACTGAGAATATTTACTACAGGTAAAAAGTCATGTAACACCTAGATGTGTCTCTGATTCCATTAGCCAGTCTTTCATTTAAATCCAAAACATTTGACAAATAAGTGGATTGTCTCACACAATTCAAAGAGTTCTAAATAATAATACTGCAAAATCCAAACATATCTACAGATTGTGCTCTACTTTTGCTACATAGGTAAAGTATATAATACATATTGTTCTTGTGATAGCTGAAATAGTAACGTTAGAAGTACAAGTTACCCTAGTCCTAATATCAAATGTTTTTGTACATGTATTGTATGTATCATATGGAACAATTGCAAAGGAGAAATACAGAATCTGCATCTTAAGTTCAGCTTACTGTGGATACTATTGGTAACTCCAAGTTATCAAAATAAATTACATTAGAAAGCAAAGCACTGCAGAAGCAAGTGGTGGCTAATTTACTACAGAATTCATGCTATCCTTCTACCATAAGCAAGAAAGTAATGGTTGTGATACTTGGAATGGGGCTAATACAGTATATCTTCCCTATGACTTGCTGGTGACTTTTTTGTGACTTAATTGTGGGATTTTTAGGGTAACATGGAAGATGACCACTCTTGCACACAGAATGTGTGAAGCGTTGATATTGTGAACAAAATTTTTACAGTGTTAAGATTCCAATAATGCACACTACTGATGGTTAGGTTTTCAGTGCATACAAAGTTTTCTCTGCATTTAATATTCCAGACCTGGAATATCTCAGGATGGTTGGTTTCTGGCAATACCAGCAGCATTTCATTCATTTGGTAATTGAAGGTTTTGACATATTTGTTCTTTTTGGTTTATTATGTATCAGCTGGAACATTGGTCCTGCACATATCATTTCCATTTCAACGGAAGTGTACTTTGATTATCAGTACGGAATTGAGCAGATTGTCCAACAGTATAAATGGTTGGAAAGAGACCTGCAGGTTAGTTTTCTTGGAGTGCTGTTAAATTGACCATTGATATGTTTTACCTTTTTCCCTGAGAGTGGCAAGCATCTAATTTCTCCAAACAATATCAACCCCGAATTAGACTTTAAGGTCATGAGAATGAAGGAAATGATCACTGACTAGAGAGGCTCTTGAATGTTATTATTCTTTTAGCTGAATTTTTATAATAGATAAACATTAATGGTGAATTAATTTCAAGCATTTTATATTATCACTGAGCCTCCATTTTGAAATTTTTCTTTACTTGCTAATGTAATTAATCATTTTTCAGGAGGCTACAAAACCAGAAAATCGTGCTCAACGCCCTTGGATTATTACTATGGGTCATAGGCCAATGTACTGCAGTAACTCTGATGGTGATGACTGCACCAAACATGAGAGCAAAGTATGTTTAGACACCACTAACTTATTTACAGGGTCTCATGCACTCAAAACCCAATCAGTCTAACCCTGAGCTGAGGCAATACACGAAAATAGTTTGATCTGTTTCCTTGCAATGTGTTGTAGTTCTGCTTTCATCTCTGACAGTTTGTTTTTTACACAATCTCTGTAGGTTCGCACTGGGATCACATCTGAACATCTCTTTCGTCTGGAGGATTTGTTTTATAAATATGGTGAGTTAAATGTAGCCTGTGATTGCTATCACCTGCAATGAGTTGTGAACTTGATTTTGCACCTGTTTATGTTTTTACAACAGACAGGTTGATTCAGAGTGAAGATGGAGTTATCAAATTAGAATTTGTCTTTTGTCTCCTTTTTTCTCTTTCAAATGAAGTTATTTAAGAGTGGGTCTACCGATTTCCCCTACAGGTGTGGACTTGATGCTTTGGGCTCATGAGCATTCATATGAACGTCTTTTCCCTATCTACGACAGGCAGGTAAGAGAACATATTGGTGTGACAAGAATTGCCCAAAGATCCCAAGACAACTTTTACTCTGCTGTACCAGATGGTTCTTACTTTTCTTCTCTTTTCTTTGAGGTAGATTTGCAATGGATCAGTTGAACAGCCTTATACCAACCCTTGTGCTCCAGTACATTTAACCACAGGATCAGCGGTAGGTTGATTACTTACGGGTGAGGTACACTGGGTTTGATATCTGGCTCCTATTCTCAACCCTTGAACTCATGAACCAAATTTGTAATTCTCCTTACTGTCAACCATACAATTCTTATAATGTTAGTTCAGAGAATTTAGTATTGGATCATTGGATCCTCAAATTGATAGTTTTCGTTATTCTCATTACTCATCTGGTTGATGTTGTATTGATATTGTAAGGAGAAATTCTGTCTTGGTCAACCATGGGAGTTAAAGGGTTAACAAATGAATATTGCTATGTAAAATTATGTTTATTGATCTGTTTGCAGCTTTTTAAATTTATTTTCAACCTTTCAAACACGTTTTTTTCTTTTCAATAGCAATTGTTTTTTTCATTCATGACTGTAAGGATTCATTTATTTCTAGGGATGTCAAGAAGACCATGACCCATTCGAGAAAGATTACCCCCCTTGGACAGCTTTCCGTTCAGATGATTATGGCTACACCCGTATGACAATTCACAACAAGACCCACTTGTACATGGATCAAGTCAGTGTGGATAAGGTAAGCTTGAGTGTGAACAATGGTGAAGACATATTAAGAATTTTCTGGAGCAGTCTGAGACACATTTTGAGCACAATAAGGGATGTTGGTGAAAAATTGTGTATGTGGCTCAGACGTTGGCTATTGATAAGTTATTCACCAAAGTGAAGGTGAATATCCTTTTCTTTCATCTACACACAGAATAAATACCACAGGTGAAAACCAAAACTTAAGTTTCTTTCTGTCAATATACTAAAAAATGGTAGTCAATCAGTGCAAAAAAAAGCTGTATGGTATGAACTAATAGACTTTATTTTATTCACTAAATTTTTTAGCAGGTCTTTTTTGTTTGTTTGTTTGTTTGTTGTTGTTTTTTTCTAACATATTTTGAGAGGTAGTTGTAACAAGAATGTTGAATGAATATTTCCTAAGTAGTAGTAGTATTCAATGTATTTGCTTCATAATTATCAACTTAAAGGTTGTATTATTTTTTTCTCATCAGCAAGGTGAAGTCATTGACAAAGTAATGATTATCAAAGAGGAGCATGGACCTGATGCTTGGATACGAAATAAATTGAAGGCATAAATTGAATTAAGAGTGCAACTCTTCACAGTTCACACTGTAGAGTTGTCAGAATTTTTCTATAACTTTGTGATTCTTAGTAAAATTTTCCATGGCAGTTGAAAGATTCACAGTGTTAAACACAAGACTAAGCACAAACAGATTGAAGGAAGGAAAATCATTCGTCAACATTTCAGTGCCCAATCGTACCACTGTCAGTTTTCTACTATTGTTGATAAAATTGTGGATAAAGTTGTAAGTTAGAAAAGGGAAGAAAAAGTTTTCTTCATTTAGTTTATAAAATTTTAAGTATAGATGTTAATTTTGAGACTAGATCCGCAGTAGCTGTGTTTTTTAACCAATGAGTATTGGAAACTCAATGTTCAGTCAGGGCTAATCATTTTTTTTTTGGGTTAAATACATGAAGTTAGGGGATCTCTTAGTCTAGCGCTAGTTTAGATAGTGCTTGTGGCTGGTAAACTGTTTTTACTCTATAAAATACTTTTTTCTTTGCAATTAAATTTTGTTTTATGTATCTCAATTGTCCAGTCACGATTTTTAATAACTTTAACAAATCTCCCCAGTGCCTCTTACTGGCATTTACTCAAGCGAAGTCATCTCTCGCTATGGAATTACGTGGAATGCAAGACTCTTGGTGTTCTATTTATTGCCATGGTTATCTGGTCTACCCAAGGGAGGGACAGGAGGGGAATTTAGTTGAGATCTTGGGAAAGAACAACTCTCACTCAGCTAATTATTAACACGAAAGCTACCCTTTCCAATTTGGTGCCGTTTGGGTGAAACTTGATGGGCAATTATGTGTCACAGGCTATTGAGCCGGCGGAGCGAGTGCTTTGTTATTTCTTGGTGAAAATTATAGCTGTCGTCTTTGATTTTTAAAGCAGTGCAAGCTGGGGAGAGAAAGAAATTTCTACTAAGGGGGTGAGCGATGGTCAAAAGAGGGGAGGGGGTGGGGTAACACTTCAGGCACGGTGATCGCGAAAAAGTGCACAGACAGGATTATAACTGTACAAATAATGTCTTTATTATAAAATATCAACTGGGGAAATATACATCTCTCTGAAGCTATTTTGAAATATTATGAACGAATACCCCACTTGCGTAAAGTACTAAATTTGAAATGTCACCGAGTTATGCAATTTTGAAAATATATTTGAAGTTTTTTCAACAATGTTGCCCATGAATCAAGTTTAGTAGGGCCTGCATCGACTTGACGCAGCGATTTGAAAGTAACGAAAGTAACGCATTATCCTGTAAATATCTTGACGGTTGCTTTTTGAAACATATGCATGGACAGTGGTTATATAAAAATAGATAATTTATGATTCAGTTGAGGTCTTGCATCGAGGTAAAAATTATCCGTTACAAAAATATTTTCTAATTCATTTTTACACCTGCTTTTTAAAAATCCAAGGACACGACACTAGTCCTAAAATTAATACGAATGAAATACAACAAACAGGGCACCTTTAAGAATTCTGACCTCAAACATACAAATAAAGCTAGTGAATTCTCTTTAAGAAGCGTCACTGACAAGTCTTAGGTCATGTCCATAACCAATACTTAATTTTTGACAACTGACGAGATTTCTGAAGCCTGGGAGCAAGCCCTCATTATGAGCGCTTCAGCACGAGCATTTATTTGCCCGCGGGAGAGCATCGCGAACTAGCGAGAGTTCTTTGAGGGATCTAGAAATGATAATTTGTGCCTGACCCATGGTAAACCTAGCCTCTCCCCGTCTCTTAAATCTTCCCGCCTAGCGAAGAAACGCACGTCCTGCAGCACTGATGAGGGCCTACACGCCAGCTAAGATTGCTATCACAACTGTCTTTGTGCAACTGAAAATAAGTTTAGTCGAAGATCTCAAACTCAACTTTTGGGACGATTGCGTGACCGGTGAAGCATGCCAAGGCGGAATGCTAACTTGGCAACCTGGTTGCGCATATTCTTTTTTGTTCGACCCTCTCTCGTCCGTATCATAAATAATTTTCAAAAAGGGGCAAAGAAAGCCACGTATATAAATTAAGATACATGTTACAAAGTTTAGCGGACTTTCTTTGTGTGTTCCAAGGCAAATTTCTTAACTTCTTCCATAATTCTCAACCTCGGACCCAGTGGAATTCCGAGGCCTTGTAATCGTTCTTCAGTCATGTAGGACACCTCCAGAATGCCAACTTGTTCAGCTTCAAAGTTGTCTACAAATCTCTGTTGGAACACGAAGTGAGAACATAGTTAATCCTTTGACCCCAAAGAGTGATTGTCATCTAATTTCTCCTTCAAACATCACCCCTGAATCACAGATTTAAGGTCATAAGAATAAAGGAAACGATCACCAACTTAAGAAGCCCTTGATTGTTACACAAATTCTTCTTGTCAGCACTTTAGGAAATGTGTGGAGAACAGTATGGGGAATATACATACTGATATTAGGGTGTAAAGGGTTCAGACGAATGAAATGATGGATTGGTTGCGGGAATTTTGACAATCGTGAATGAAACTACTGAATACGGCAATATATTTTGCTGGAAAACGAATAAGCACCGCATAGTTTGTCGACACACATATGGCTATTTTTTATTCCCTATTGCGATTTCAAAAAGGAGAGCTACTTAAAATAGGCCAAAAAATGTTTCTATAACGATACAGCCTTCAAGGAAATTCAGTCTCATTTACCCGGACTTAAAATAAATTCGTGACGTTCCGGTGACACAAAAGACTTTCTTACATATTGACCAATTCCTGAATGGTCAACTCCGGTTACGTATTTTTTTTGGCGTACAGGAACTATAAATGAAGAAGCTTTTCCACTTCTCTGAATACGTATCACGTAACTCGGAAGAGTGGGTTGCAATAAACAGCGTTTTTCATTGAATTTGTGGCTACAAAAACTTAACCGTAAATATAGTTTCATATACGAGACAGCGATTGTCACATCAAACAGTCGATCGATGGTGTGTTTGACCCAAAGAGGTCAGGGAAGGACTGAGTTGAGTTCACCTTGTTGCGTTCGTGGGAAAGACACTCAACTCCCGCAGTTCCCACCCTGGGGTTAAAATATGTCCTGTTGAACTCTAAGGGAAAATTTGGAAAATGCTGAAAATGGACTAATATCCCAACTAGGAGTCGTGGTATTACTTCTGACAACACCATGACTCAGAAACCAGAAAAACCTCCGACAACAAAGTATTCCACAGGCTCGTGTCACTAAAAATGCACATTTACGTCACAAGCCGTCACTCGGCGTTATTACGCATTACCTCATATCCGAGCTTCTTCAGAAAGAGTGCGAGAAGAGGAGGATCCTCACCGAAAAAGCTAAAAAAGACAAAAACAGAGCCCATGTTAAATATCCTTCAGATCACTTACAAAATTGCACGTTCCTTATGTTTGGTTGCCAACCAGGAATAACGTGAGTTCAGTACAAAACGGTATTTAACAAGTTAAAACGTTTTCTCGCAAGAAAAGGAAAATCCAACTAAATCATTGAAACTACGGAAGAAAATTTTCTTCCGGTTTTTTTTTTTCTGCCGTGGTTGCAATTTCCCTGGTTCAGATCTAAACATAGTGAACGTGACGTACTTTCTGCTATTTTTAACAAATTCATTCGCTCATATTTAGAGCGTTACGACGCAGTTTCAGAAATGAAGGATTCAGTCAAATTTTAAGTTGTTAAACTGTTTCGCATTAAAGACAATTTTGGTATTATCAACTGAATATATGTAAATTGGCCACCTTAAAGAGTTTCAAAGCTGACGTTTCGAGCGTTCGCACTTCGTCAGACGATTCGCTCTGACGAAGGGCCAACAATTTACATTTTCGACTCAGTTAATAATATCAAAATTATCTTGTTCAACTCCTCCGCCGACGCAACATCAGTTGCTTTAAAAATTTATCCCCTTAATGTTTCGCATTCAGCCTCTTCTCTATGACGACAATCCAGTTTCAAAGAACGTTCAATAACTTAATCGTCATGCGTCTGAATCGTGTCTGGTATGGTAAGATTCTGGTACATCGAAGTTCCATTACCTATATTCTACTGGCAGTAGTTAAGCCGCATGAAAGGATATTGTTCGTTTTAAGCATTTCATTAAATTGGTAACTTACAAGAGGGATCGTAATGAGGGGACCTCGATAGGATCTATATAGTAATTAGTGTAAACTGTTCAGACACTACGCGCGCTATCACTATCCATAGGTGTGCTTAGATAAGAGAATGTAAAAAAAATATATAACAAAAATAAAAAAGTTGTAACGTCTTAGATTTACGCATACATATTAAAAAAACTAATAGGAAACTTTTTCAAGTTCAAACAAGTCTGCCTATCTGAAATGTCCGAAGTTGTTCATTGGTTCCGAATTCTCTCATCTCCTCAGGATATTGAGTCCAGTCATGAAGGGAAATGTAGGAGGGAGGGGAGGGGGGGGAAGGGAAAAAGAGAAACTGGCCTTACAGGGATGTTTGTATATACCGCGAAATTAGTCTTAAAGGATTTGATATTTCAGGGCTAAAAAAGCCCACTGTAGAAATAAACTGTCAAGAAGTACCTTTTAAGTTTTTTCACTCTTGACTGCAGCTGGGCGCTTTCCTTGGCCGGGTCACCCTCCTCTTTAGTTTTGAGCTGTTGGTCTTGTACTTGTCGTCTCATGTCGTCCACATCCTGACTGAGCGAAGCTTGTGAACGTAACTCTGATGACAAATGAGCTACACTTCTGGCGAGAGTGACTACGTGTGATTCTAAGCGACCAAATCGCTTGTTTACTGCCCTGTTGAAGGAAACGAGTGAGGATATTCAGCTAGACGAACGAATTACTTCTCTTCTGATCCTTAAAGTGAACATATCCAACAGGAAAGTACAAAAAAGAATCTTCTAATTGCAGAAAATATATATATTTCTATATTGTGGCAAAACCAGTTGAACCATAGAGAGCAAAAAGTTCGATTCTTGCCGTTTGCAGTTCACGTAAAAAGCGCTTCTAAATATCTCTACTGTGGCTTGATATGTTTACCTAAAGTTCGTAACATATACCTTTTCAGCTCTGGCATTCTATGATGTTCACGCAAAATATGCTTACAAGAAATGCCAACCGTAAAACTCTTGCCAAT